TTCGCAATTTTATTGAAGGATTTATTATTATTTTTATTTTGGTGTTACACGTGTATATCGTTATGTATCACAGCTAATTACAAAGGAGCAGGGGGTCGAATTTTGAGCAATCATTTTTGGAAATGGGTCACTTGAATTGAAGAAAATGTATTCAAAGTTGAGCATCATTTTCACTTATAAGGGGTCGTCCATTAATTACGTCAACAATTTTAAAGCAATTGTCAACAACTGTCCAACTTTCAATGACCCCCCCCCCATTTAATTATATTATGTCAACATTTTCTACACCCCCCCCCCAATATATAAAAAGGGGGAATTGCATTATCAATAAATTTATAGATACATTTTACTTTGTGCTAATCAATTCATTTCCTCTTTAGTCTTTAGCTTGTTAATCAACATGCTAAGAAGTTTTTACACTTAAATTTTATAATGCATAATCAATTGAAAGGTTGTTAAAGACTAAATATAATTTTTTGTGGAAGTATAAATATGATTATTGTCAGTAAAACTGACAATTATAGTATAGTTTCTAGCTGTTATCATCTTCCCAAGGAGTAGCCAGGTTTGCTCAATCACAGGGGCCTCAAACTCGCGGCCCGCTGGCCATTTGCGTCCCGCAAGACGATATTTTTCGGCCCGCTACCTGACACAAATTATTGTGCCGCACACGTTTTCTCCATTCTCATATCTATAATGTGACCCTCCGTGACGGTTTCAGTCGAATCTCACCTACTACTAGTAGTCTAATTCTAATTTCTATTATGTTTGTATAGGTTTGCACGTTGATTATTATGGTAAATACCGTTTTAAAATTGGAATAAAAGATTTGATTTTATAGCATTTTATGAGACAAACGTCGCCAAAGTGCGGTTTTGAGAAAAGTTTTAAAAGTCAGTTAGTGGGTAAGGCACAATCATAGTTGTGTAAATTGTAGCAATCTGACACTATTTCTATTAAAATTGCTGCTAACGAGTGAGGACAATTCCGAGCCTGTCAGATTGGCCACTTTTAAAATAAAGGCTAGTAAAAAGGGCCTTTTCTACGATTAAAAATCAAAATTCATACTCCATACAATAGCATCTTCCTTCGCATCAATAATTCATAATATTGCCGGCTCCTGCCTACTGTTTGAACACGTTTTAGCCTTTAAAGCATTCATGTAGATGGATGGGGTGATGGTTCCTGTAGTAAGTGATCCCAAACGGCTCCTGGACTTGGCTTTTCTTGTTGACATTAGAGGGGAGCTGAATGCACTCAAAAAGAAGTTACGAGACCAGGGGTAGCTTGTCAGTGTTGCCTACAATGTCAGGGCATTCTGCTAAAAAAAACTTGTGTTCTCAGAGACACCTCTGCCATTTCGCAACATGATAAGTACCCATGGACTCTGGCACACCATTCAGTCGAACTTAGTAGTAAGTATACTGATGCCATTGCAAAGCTACGGGAAGAATTTGATCACGTTTGCAGATGTCATTTGTGGTAGTTTATTTAGTTAAACTGGAGAATTAAGTTTACAAACATATAGTCCATTCAATTATATTTCATTTGATACCTTATTTTGTCTTACAAACCCGACAATAAAATTTTAAATAGTTTTTTTAAACCCAACCTCTTATTTCTTGTACCCGGGTACGAATAGCCACTTCGTTTAAAAAACTTTCACGCAACGTTATGCAGAACTGTTTACCCATGGGTTAGTGTTAGAGTAGTTTTCATATCTCAAAAACGAGGTTTCTAACCCCAAAGACAAGAAATTTAAGAATAGTTTGGCCAATTAGTGGGGGTGAGGATTTTGCACTCATAATTATTACAAGTTATGTCAGAAACTACACTCAGCTGCTCCTATAAGTTAGCAAGAATAAATTTACAGGAGATGGATCTCCAATTTGTTTCTTAAGGATGAGAAAATGTCTATGGCGAACACAAAAGGCACTGACTGCACAGACTTGTTTGACAGATAATTATGTGGTTTTGAAAATGTAATATTAATATGTTTTAAGACGTTGCTAGTTAAATGAACAATAGGTAACAAAGGGCTGGAAACTAGTATTCAAATGAAAACGATACCAAAGCTAGTGATACCAAAAATGTTCAATTTAATTATACTATTAAATATCGATAAAAATACAAATTCAAATATACAGAAACAATATAAATATAGGCCCATATACTTATAGTACAGCAAATGAAAAGGTACATTCCTCGAGAGATACAAATATTAATTTACACACACACACACACACATAAAGAGTAAAACCTTGTAAGTATATTATGTTACTGAAATTAGAATACATTAACTTTTGCAAAAATAATTACATGCTCGAATTTTAAAAACAAAGTCTGCAAGAAGAGCTGGCTCGAAACAAATAGTTATAATTTCACACCGATAGATGATGTCTCTACCATATAAAGCTGATATGTTGGCTCTCCCATGTAAAGTTAATATGTTGGCTCTCCCATATAAAGCTAATATGTTAGCTCTCCCATGTAAAGCTGATATGTTGGCTGTCCCATGTAAAGCTGATATGTTAGCTCTCCCATGTAAAGCTAATATGTTAGCTCTCCCATGTAAAGCTGATATGTTGGCTCTCACGTGTAAAGCTGATATGTTAGCTCTCCCATGTAAAGCTAATATGTTAGCTCTCCCATGTAAAGCTGATATGTTAGCTCTCCCATGTAAAGCTAATATGTTGGCTCTCCCATGTAAAGCTAATATGTTGGCTCTCCCATGTAAAGCTGATATGTTGGCTCTATTATGTAAAGCTGATATGCTAGCTATTCCATGTAAAACTGATATGTTGGCTCTTCCATGTAAAGCTGATATGTTGGCTCTCACATGTAAAGCTGATATGTTGGCTCTTCCATGTAAAGCTGATATATTGGCTCTCACGTGTAAAGCTGACGCAAGATTATAGGAGGTACGACGTAGGGTCGGTCAATTTCATTTTAAATCGAAGCATATCTCAACATCAGCTGCTCAAAGGTCATTTGCAAGCCTAACTTGTATGGGTGGCCAAACTTGTATGGGTGGCTTACATACCAACAATTCAGAGTGATCATACAAGAATTTTGTACATCATAAAATCTTGACAAAACAAGTTTCATTTACCTTTTTTTTTTTTTTTTTTTTTTTTTTTTTTTGTTTTT